CGTGGCCAACCGATGTATCAAGCCAGTGCTACTATCCTCTCAGACAAATCTGGTACCAATTTGCCAACCCCGGAAGGATGGAAAAGCTTGGTGGGCCATGGGCGCAGGGATTGATTCCACGTGTTTGTTGCAGGACGCCTCCGACCACTGCGCCATACGCGTCCTTAATCCTCAGAAATTAATGATCTTCAACAGGTTCTTCCAGAGTCGGTACGTAATATCTTCAACAACCTCTTGCTATCGGTCTGCCATCAAATGGTCGTCGTTGCGCTTGTAAAAGTTTATTTATGTATAGATGAAAACATTTTGCATGTCGCTCTGAGGTGCTCATGAAGAGTCTGTCCGTCAGTTTTCTTCGCAACCAGGATGAAAGACAGAGACCTCAAAATACTCCCCTGGACTTTTATACCGTATTTTGATCCCGTCATGAAAACACCTAAAAGCCAGACGTCATTCCAATCTCATGAAACTTCTAAAATTGAGAGATTGACAGTGAAGAATTCTAGGTGGACTTAATCGTGTTTATATCAGAACGCCTATGCATCTACGTGATATCTGGAAATTTGTCGATAGAGACACCCTTGTTTTCCAGCTTCTCACTAACTGACCAAGCTTATAGTTTCTCGACACAATGATTCTGTACAGCATTCCTGTACTTGTGCATGGGCTATTTCCAGAGCAAATCCATTATGGCACAAAGGTTTCGGATGATGTGGTTTTTTGAGCTCTGGCCGAGAGCTCACAAAGGTTTTTTGTTCTTCTTCCTGTACTGCATCGGAAAAGTGGATCACATTATAGAGTAGTGCTGGGTTTGCCCGACTATCAATTGATACGATAGTTCTCAATTCTCGTAGGCAATCAAACTCAGGTTTTTCCTATCGTAACGTGGAAGAAAAGATAGTTCAGCAAGCACGCCGACAAATCGATGGGTTCTCATCCGTGTCGGACACCTTGGTTTAAATTACTCATCAAACGCCTAAACCGTCATACACTTTCTCTTCAGATCATCAGTCAATGATGCTATAAATCAAACAAACCAGCAATGATGCTCATATATTCCATTCACACGGTGTTTGCCGAACTAGAAATGAAACCGAGACTAAAACGCATAGAACCGAATGTCAGACGAATCAGCACGTGCTTCTCAAGTAGTTAGTCGCCTTAGGCTCCTTCACTAAGTTTTGCTCAAAAATTTTCAGATTTACAAATTCTTATAGCAAAGTGCTTTTATTTTTCATCTGAGTCTTTCCTTTAAAAGAGCGTAAAATGCAGATTTTCGGTCAGATACATGCCGAATTATAATTCGATCACAATCGAGTTCTGCTTCCAAACTGACAGCTCATAGTTAAATTAACGAAAAACATTGTTGTTTTCGTCAACTCTTGAGAGGCGGTTCAACAATTTGACCACACGATTCTCGACGTTGTTTGTTCCACTTCGAAACAGTTGCGTCATAGCGATTTTCGGCGCTTGTGAGACACTCCGCTTGACCTCGTCGGGCTGGTGATCCAGGTGGAGCACACCATCCGACGACGTCCAGTCGATGTCGCTCATAGAAGAACTGTCTCGGGACCGTGTTTTTTGGACTAACAGCTTTCTTTGATATTATCGTAGTACGTCGTTAAAGACGTCGGTGAATTTTACATAGAAAACAGCTTCCTGCCGACGAACATTACCTTCCTGAGGTAGTTGCTACAGTTGTTTTTTGTTAGCAAAATAAGTTTTGCTGAAATCATTCAAATTTATTTGAGCGTTTACAAAACGTGCATAGCTCTACTCACCCTTTCGTCTAATTCATTTTTGTAATTCCATCATACATGACTCATTTATCCAGGGTTTGCTTCTGTTGAAATACAGCTAGCAGAAATAAAAAATTTCCATTTCTCAATTTTATTCTTTAATTTTTTGTTTTTCATTTATTTTATTTATTTATTAATTTTATTTCAAAATTTAACCCTCATTTGGCGAAGGATTTCAAATAATATAATTTGGCAAGGCTATTCGTCTCTCTTTATTTCCTATTTGTTTATGTAATCAAGGTTTGTACACCCATCTTCTTTGCCACCATTCCGAATCCACATGAAATGGAAACAGACATCTTCGCCAACGTTGCCATGAATGTCTAATTCTCTAATCGAGCCGATGTGAAAACGTTTCCATTCCCAAGTTTCCTCTATCAGTTTCGTCAACGCTTTCTGGTCATTCCGGGATATTTTCACGCTCAACGATTCGTAAATAAAGAACAATTATACGCGTAACCAATAGGTATCGTAAGTATCATCCATTTGCATTAATAAGCTTACACGAGGCTGTCGCCAAACACTCCTTGCTGTGGCTAACGTTTTGGCACCTTCTCTTCCGATAGAGCGGTGATAGGAGTCCATTAGCCGCAGCGGTTTTTTTGAGACATTGAGATTCGTAGTCGCACCGAGTCGAATCAACTAAAGTGGGACTTTGCCAGAAAGAAATTGTTTATGCCGAGGCTAAGTGAAAAAAAGTTTACAAAACCGGAGTCATCCTAAACAGTCATCCTAGATGTGGAATTCTCAGATGGGAAGATGAGCTTCGACCACACACCCATACGCTAGTCAAGCTGTGGTCGCTTTTAAGTATCGGAACAAAAGTACTTAACCGTTAAGCAATGAGAAGTGGGGGCTTCTTAGCGGTTGTTTTCAGCTTCTGATTTTATATATAATATGAGAAATAGGTCTACTGCGTTGCTGCAAACCAGTTTCTGGTTGGAATTAGAAAAAAGCTTCAGCGGTTACCTCAACAAATCTTGAAATAGGCGCTACTTGACATTGTTGTGGATAAAAACTCGACGAGGTTTCATCACACTTATGCGATAAGTAGCTGACACCAAACATTGAACAAATTTGCTAAGCAAAAGGCACAATGGACCACTCAGTGGGCGTTACTGGTAATCAGTTCTCGCCGAAAAATTTTATTGTACTTGTGTTACGAATTCCTCATCGTAGCGCTTTGTTATGCCAATGTTATAGGCGTCTACATACAAAATTTCACGTCAAGAACAACTTTCTCCTTTGCAATGTATTGAACTTCCTAGTGTCCCGATTCCTCAGCACAATGGCTCACGTGTCAATCGAATCTGTTTGTGCAGACCATTTTTAATGGGACAATTCTATACAATGAATAAGTTGTTTGAGAATTTATCCCCAATGTGCGTGTTTCCTTTAATGTATCTCACAACGTGCGTCCAACAAAGAGAAATAACACTGGAATTCTTAATGGCTGTTTTCTGTGATGACGTCTCACATTGCATTTGGACATGTACACCACCGCATTGTTGTAATTCATTCCTTTCTGCCTACCGCAGCGAACTGTCAGATCATGGCTTATTTCCGTTCCGGAATCTTCCGCAAAAAATTTCTCTATCCGATTTCGAAGCGGCAATGAGATAAGCCAGTCTGGCCCCTTTTTGGGGCTAGTAGTATCGCCAGGCATTCGTTTTTTCTTTTGCTTTCAGTCCGCCGGCCATGTGGTACGCGTTAGTTCCCATCATATGGGCAGCGAGTGTTACCGGTGATTTCAACTGCAGTCAAGCTCCAGGACGTGGTTTGTTCTTCTCTATTCTGCACTAATCACAAAGAATCTAAGAAGCAAATAGCTAAAATGCGACACTAAAAAGAACCATTCAATTTAGAAGAGCATTGTATATATATATTTACGTTTTTTTTATTTTATATCACCTATCTTCACGTCTACCGTGCGGATCCCATCACATCTCACATTCGATTCGTTTCCTCGCATCCATCGTCAACGAAGATCTTCTAATTTTTAAGTGTGGCTTCGGCTGCTGCATAAGGATTTTCATTTTACCTTGAATGTCGTGGAGTGCTAGTGTAGAGTGATCGAGGAATTCTCCCTGGAGTTCTGGGATCGCCGAGATGGAGTGTTTCCAATTTGGTTGCGGTGAGTGATTTTTCTCAGACGACTCCGGCACTAAGTTCTTGACCCCGAGGAGACGAGAAGTGGCCCGGAGAGGAATCGAACTAGCACCATGCTCGTGATGACGGATATTACTACCACTGTGCTATCCGCTCCCCATATATAGATATATATATATTCCTGCATTTGTGAATACAGTTGTGTCTTCCACATTTTCTGAACGTTTTGCGTGCAATAAAAAAAAACTAAACTACGAAGCACACGCTGTACCATTATTTTATAACTACATAAAGGATTTAAAGTAGAAACTGTAATGTGACCATTGATCATTTCCACTCTGAACGAATAGATGAATAAACACGTGTAGGTTTTGAGGAACATCCATCGTGTAAGCAATTCAAACACAGAAAGAAACAAAATGAGGGTGAGAGCAGATACACAGATACAGAGACGTCATAGAGCAATTTCCCAGTGATTTTTTAAAAATCTAGTGGTAAAAATGGCTCATGAAAGGTTCTTAATTGGCGTAGACTTGTTTGCCATTAGATCTATATGTCGCTCATTTAGACATGCAAACCACTTGCAAGATGATCCAGGAATGGGATTCGAGCGCAAGAAAAGCCATCAAACGTCGACAAGTTCTGGAGAACGGCATTGGTCAGTCATCCTGTCTACCATTCAGCCTCAACATGGTTCTGTCCCCCACGTCTCTGACTCTCGATCTGACTTCAGCCATGGATGAATGTGCATTTTCACCACTGAATCCATCATCCACAGTTGATGTCGGAATCCAAATTTTTTAATTCTCTATTATAACGATGTTTTCGTGATCATAGAAGGCTGATTTGTACTTGGTGAGTGAGAATGCGCCAAAGATTTTCATACTTTTCAAACACTTTATATTACTCTTGCAAACAGAGTTCGAAAAGAACTTCAACATTTTGTACAAGTAGGAAGCAGTATGGCTTAAACCACGAAAACTTTATAACCCTGTGATTGTCATGGTTCCTAATTAGGATTGTAGGTGTGTGAGAAGCGGCCACGAACCAGCACTTCCAGCTAGAACTATGGCGATAACATTTCTACTATGTATGTTTGTTTCAGGAGCTCCTGGTTTGCCAAACAACCCTAGCTTCAGTCCTGCGGTTCCACCACGATTTGCACCGTCTGCACAGGCTTGTATGAACATACCATGCATTTGTCCATATATGGGAGTGAGTTTATTGCTAGCTTCCGTGTACTTTTAAAGTTCGGCAAGACTCTCACTCCCCTTCCACACGAAATTTTAGTAGCGTGCAGGATTCTTAGAGTGAATTGGGCTTTCTTAATCATTCAAGCGATGAGATTATTTCCCACTCCCAGATTTTTCACTGTTAAGATCATCACTTCTCTGTGATTGTTTTGGAAAGAATTTTTGTGCCGCACATCTTCTAACCAGTCGATAACTTATCGAACATAGATGCTGCACCATATGTGGGCCATGTAAACCTTCCTAACGCTTGATAATTTACAAAGAACTCTTTTTCGAACGAGTTTGCTTAGTTGATGAGAGGCTGCTTCTGGTAAAAGAGCACTGCCACGTAGGCTGTTCCCGTTGAAGAGGGTACATGGTTGTCTCAGGTGTACTTGGACACTGAAATTCAACACTTGGGAACACTTTTCGTTAGCACAAATGATGGTAAATAGTTGTGGAGACTTGTGTAGTTGAATGGTTTTACAGAAGTGTACTCGTTGTCAATCACTAAAACCATTTGTCTACAAGAAAGCCAGACCTTCAGCGGTGCCTTTCCAGATAATGGGTGTTATTTCCTGTAATTGTTCTCATAACATTCCATTGATATTATAAGAATTGTAATGGAATAGAACTATTTTATGGTCTAAAGTTCTCACAATACGCACTTTTTCATATCATTTACACTTTTTATACCTTCGTGCATAATCTTTATTTTGCACGGTTTACACGCAATTACCATTCGGTGCAGAAAATCATGGGATGCAGAGGAATAGCGTAGACCCATGGGGTGATTGAACAAAGCCTTTCGTATGGTTGTATCAAAGTTCTTTTTGCTAGGTACTTTGGTTATCAAAAATTAGACAGAGGTTATCGAAAACTGCATTCGTTCTTCACATGAAGCATAAAAAGTTCGGTTTTTCACAATGAACTGGCTTCAACTGCATTTCCGATGACCGTGATGAATCACGGTTATTGTAATAGAGGAGTGGATTTTTAAAGAAAACACCGATATATACTTCACATATCTTACGAAACTAAACCTAATGTTAATCGCTATGGTGATGGATGATGGAGAGTTTTCTATCCTATGAAGGAGTTTAATTTGTCCCAGAAATATGGAGATATGCGAACGATAACGTAGGGAATATGATGAATATGAGAAGCACCGAACTTTCTACCAAGGCACAGAAAGAAACCAAATTATAGAATGAGACTCAATAAAACTGCTTGGTTATCGATTGGGTGGGCACTGTGGCCTACATAACTCCCACTGGTGTCACAGTGCGAGACAAAAGATTAGGCTTCTTCCTATGCGGTCCCATCACAAAATTTATCGCCTCTCCCTTATGTTAAAACACATGAGAGAGAGAGAGAGAGAGAGAGAGAAAGAAAGAGAGAGGGAGAGAGAGAGTTAAGTATAGACGAGCTTTGTCTCTGTATAAATTTTTTTTGCCTATTACGCGAGCTGATAGAACTGTTAATTTGCACCAAGACAGCGTTCGTTCTTCTTCGAATGACTTCAGTTGAGTTCGTTTATTTTTTCTAAATAATGCATGATTATAAATTGCCATTCTTTACTCATTGTGAGAGAACTAGAGCTGAATTTTAATCAAGGAACTGGTCTTTTTTTGTCAATAGTTCCTGATGAGTTCTTTCATTTCTATTGTATTGAACTATGTATGACACACGTGCCTAATTGATATTCCCATGACAATGTGAAGAAAAAGACATTTGTATGGCGGAGGCGACGAAGCCGGTCGCAAACTCAACACGATCATTGCCGAACCCCCTTAACGGAGAACCCGCCGGTTGAATGTCAAAGCCGAGCTATTTCGTCATTTTGCTGTGTCTAGCGTTGAAATAGTTCACCCGACATTTCTGTGTCAGGAGTCGGTCGGCAAACTTCTCTATCCGTTACTCTTTTTCAGAGTGTCTCTTATATATGCGGCCATAACCACCAACACAATTGAAAATCGACTATTCTTTTAACCATGTTTTGAGCAAAATATTAGCCAATATTTCCGCAAACTTCGACTTATCTCAGCATGTTGTTTTTTCCTGCATTGTTCCTGACAGAACAAAGGACTAAGTGTAAAGTGTTGATCAATCCCTTAGGTGAGTTATGCAATGACTCCATTAAGGCATCGTAGAGGTGTTGAATACATATTTAATCCAAACAATGACTTGGAGTCTACTTATGCATAAAATTAGCCCTTTTACTATTCTCACGAACAAGTTCGTTATAAATTTGCAGACCCCAGAGAGATGGAGGGCTTGATTTGCGCAAGGCATGGAGTCAACGAATATGTGGTCGTAAAGCACCTCTTCTATTCACTGTTGCAAACGAATTAGTTCGACTTTTAAGGGGCACATATACGGCAACGGCTGTATTCTGCCGAATGGTCAGCCCTATCTGCCTGCTCTACGAAAGGAATACAGACTGATGACCGATAATGAAAGAACCAGGTTTGGTTTATGTCGATCACAGAAATTGAAGTATGAAAACTTTATGGCTTTCCTCAGTTGAAGGAAACCAGTTCGGCTATCCTGATGGTAGAAGTGAATTAATAAACTGAAGTTGAAAAATGAACTCTACTGGGAGGAGTTCATTTGTCATTCGCGAAGTATTTCGTAGTATGTGATGTGGTTCACTAGCCTTTTTTGAGAGCATCGCAAACCAAGGATGTTACAGAACTTTTCGTGCATGGGCCAAATGGATTAATAACTAACCATTTTTTCAGTGTATTAGAACCCATTTTGAACCATTGAACCATTTTTTGGAACTTCTTTCGATAGTTGGCATAAACAAAAGAAGCAAAGGTTCCAACGCATCGACTCGAGTCGATGCCATATTTCCCGTAGCAATAAGATGATGTGACACAATTTCTCTTTTGACAAAGATGGGAATCCACTTTCAATTTACTTCTAGTTGAATCTCTTCGCTACAGCCTCAGTCTTTTTTCATCCGGTCATTTCCTGCCTTGTAGGTTACTTAACCTCATCAAAAATGCACTTGTGAACGCTTACAAGTGGGTTCTCACGTGTTTATGCTACTCGTCTAATTAGAGCTGAAGATTCGGGTTGAAATTTGGCTGAATTCCTTGCTAGCTACATTCTTTTGTATCATAGCTAGACGAAACCTCTGATGTCAAAAGTACTTTTTAAAAGGAAAAGTGAGTAGGGTGTTTGAAATGGAACCGTAAAAGAAAACTGATATTTCCAGGTGGAACTATGCAGTTTTGCAGCTGAAGAGAAGTGGCGAATACGACAGAATTAGCGTCATGCACCGACAGGTATAGCATTCAATCAGCTTCTGATATTTGCGTTGAATGCTCCATATTTCGAAAAAAAAAAATCAGGTCTTTTCCTGATCGAACACTCGATTAAGCAGCACTCGCTACTTTACAGTCCAGTGGTCCCGCTATCACAAAGAATCGTATGGTTTTTAATACTTTCCCTCTAACTGGTACAACATTAGTTTATGAGATTCCTTCTCTATAATCCCAAGAGGGTCTTACTAAAACGTTCCCAGGTCCTTAACATAGGTACTTGACGAACTTCGTGGATTGAACGGAGGTTTACTACCTAACAAATACTTGGATACTTGGACGGCCCATCCTCACTGGTTGTGCGGACCCCAGCATATTTTCCATTTTTCGTAGTTTTGCTGGTTTAGCCATTGTGTTTCCCCGGAGTCCCGAGGTCAGCCTGGCCAAAGTCTGCCTCAGGTCGGCAGCAGCACAGGCAGTCGCTGCCCTTATGAATCAGAGGGATGTTTGTCACCATGCGACTAGTTTGATGCCAGGATGGTAGTGGATCCTGGTAGTGGTTTACTCTTAGCTGGGCTTCCTGACGGAAACGTCAGACTCCTTCTTAGCTTGGGATACTCTACCGGGGGGATGGATCTGCCCGTTGTACATCGCAGCCAGACACGCAGGAACACCTCCCAACCACGATGAGGGGTAAGCCGTTCGGAGGACCACTTTACAAATAGGTTTTTCAAGTAGCTCAATTTCGCTTCACCAGAACACCACTTGCAACGAATACATGGTTATCATTAGTGGAATAATAAATTCCACTAAGTGCTATACTAATTGTGCGCTGTTTTTTAACGGTCAGGTAAAAAACGAACTTTGTGTACTTAGGTCGGATCCTCGTCGGGTGCGCACTCTGGTCCAGGTTTCTTGCCGTGGCATCGAGAGTACATGAAGAGGTGATTTTTCCATACAATGTCAAATTTCTCACTATATGGGAACTAGCTGACCTTCACCCTTTTCCTTTTTCTCCAGTGCCTAGATTATGGACAATAATGTGACCCACACGTTGGTCATTCGTGACCGAAGCTTGTTTAGCCTTTCAATTTTAAACACACACGTATCCGATACCAAATAGATATATTGATTGAGGTCGAAACCCTTATAAACTGCGCATCGTTGCTAATGAAATCCATAGATGTATACTTCCTAACTATGAAGTGCTACGCTTCTGTAGTTCAAAGAAGGGTTACGTTCGGAGGTCTCGATAGTGTGTTTCCCGTGATTTATTTTCCTCCCAATTAAGTGCAACTCTTCATAAAACTTTCCAAAATTTCAAAATAAAACCGGTCCTTAACCCTTTTATTTACTGCCTACTCTTTTTAATGGTAGGGTATATTGCGAAATATAACTTCAATGGTGATGAGATATTGCAAAACTCCGGACCGCAGGTGTCTGCGGTGGGGAACGAACGCGCTACTGTCCTTTCCGTGGAGTAACGCGTTCACCACCACACCAAGCGGGTCCTTCGTTTCGCCTGTCTCTCAGCTAGTTCTATATAGAACCGCAAACAGTTGCCGTCCGGAGTTTTGCGAATATCTCAGCATCATGAAAAACCGGTCCATTAGGTGAAATAAATTAGGTATTAGTTCAAGGTATTGAAGATTCGAAAGAGTTCTAGTTACCTATTTCGTGTGACGATATCGTTCTAGTCAAAAAGACACCACGTCTGTTTCGATACAGCGTTTACATACTGTTCCAGAATCGAGATTGCATTACGGATGATTGATCCAGGCATATCATTACCCTATTGGGACTCCGTGATGGACTCCTATCTACCAGACCCTCGTGATTCTATCATGTTCTCGGAACTCTTCATGGGAGAAACCGACCAAGCTGGCCAATTGGTTTATGGCCCATTCGCCGGTTTCAGAACTCTTGAGGGGCGACCTCATATCGTCAGGTGAGCTGTGTATGACTACAAACATTGCTACAGCTAAGATTCAAATGAGCCTTTGCATATTATTTCAATGTCGTTTCAGACGACTTGCAACGGAAGGCAAACTTCTCACAGAAGCAAATATCAATAATCTATTGAGCCAAACCGAAACTCAGAATGTGCTAGCCTACACAGCACCTCAGAACGGTGATTTTCTTTTGGCATCCAATCACAAAAGAAGGCGTTTAGTTGATTAGCGATTTACAAACGTATCGAACACATTTTAATTCTCTGAAAACTCATAATTGCTAGGAATTTATCTGCACCATAACTATTTCTTTGTTGCAGTCCTCATCATTTTTCAAATTAAACAGAAGTCCGGACCGTAGGTGTCTTCTGGGTTGGGGAACGAACGCCCTATTACCTTTTTCGGTGCCTAACGCGTTCACCAATGTAAACGGAAATCTTTTCGGGAAAAAATGTGAAGGAAGAAATGAAATCAATAAGTGTCGTTTAGTTCGAGCGGTTACGAAATTTGGATAAATCCATTACTGACTAGTAGTTACAGTCGAGTTTTGTGCCATGTTGTCATCTTCTAAACTCCTGCGCATTTTTACGAACCATTCGATGCGGTTTTTGTTGTTCTTCGTCTCGGTGCGACAATTATCGGCACAAACAAGCAGCAACAAGCTCAGAATTTCTAAACTGCGCCGTTCGCTTTAATGGGAAAGTGCTCGCGCCGTTTCTTTTTCGTTAGCGACTCGCTCAGTTCTGTTGTCCAAAGATCCAAGCCAAGTGTACCATTCTTTCCTGATCCACGGAAAGAGCAAAAACAACCTAATTCTAATTTTAACGAAAAATCTGGATGCATATCACATTTCTCATACGCTTAATCGGTATGTTGCTGATTTAGCAAGATTTTATTCCATGGAGTTTTGAAAAGGCCGTGTCATAGCGTTACTACGTCACCACCATAGGCACACTCTTAAATCATAAATTGGATAAAGGATAAAGCTCTTGGCGTTGAACGACCTCCGACGGATACGCTTTAGAGGGGATTGAATGCATATATGGCCTATACAGTGAATGTATACCAATATATCAAGTCAGTGTTGCTATTTTCCCATATTTCCCAGTTTCGGTACCAATTTGCCGAACCCTAAAGGAATGGAAGGCTTGGTGAGCCTCGCATGTTGGATCGATGGATTGTATGCCACCTCTAACCATTGCGCTACACGCTGCACTTTTAAGTCATATGAACGCATACATTACATCCTAATATCATGTTTCTTCCAGCAGCAGGTCCATTCATGATATTGGTCTAATCTTAGCCAAATTTCCTTCTTTTTTATCGTATATTTTGTCTTTGGTAATCTCCTTTTAGAATGAATTCTTCTTCCAGTACTCTTTTCTGCTCAAAATTCAACAGCTTTGGACACCGCAAACCGTGATTTATTGAACTATGGCGCTGTAGGTGTAGAGGCGCTCGTTGCGCAGTGATTTGAAGCGCCATTGCGACACACACGTGGAATCGCTCCCGCGCCTTGGCCCACCAAGCCTTCCATCCCTCCGGGATCGGCAAATTGGTACCAGACTTGTCTGGAAGGATAACAGCACTGGCTCGATACATCGGTAGGCGACAGCGAGTCATTGTAAAGGCCAGATATACATTCAGTCACCTCCAACGATACTTAGTGAAGTCGAATGCATGGCGCATCCTTCAGAGATTGATCAACGCCGAGAGCTTTTTATTTTTTTATGGAGATGTGGCATATATAAGGAAAATTGGCCAATAATAGAAATAATACACAACGAAATTTAGAGGAAATCAAGAGGTGGAGACAGTGAATGGTTATAGGGGCCGAAACCAGTTTCTCGCAGAGTGCCGATAATTTTCCGATAACTAGAGCGCTTGCGAATTTAAAAGCGTGATCGGCTTATAGGGTTTAACGTGCCTACTTAAGAGTAAGTATGGTTCCTTAAAATGTCCCATGATTTTTTAAGTTGTCTAGAATGTCGAAAAGAAATTTTTCGAAATTCTAGCCTCGACGATTAGAAGTGCATACGTTTGATATGCTCCAGAAAGTAAGATTTCCATAGTGGTAAACAAAGGAGCTTCTGTCCTGTAGGCAAAGAATTATGGTTCCTAATACTTTTCATTGGCGGTGGATAGCACAGTGGTAGTAATGTCCGTCATCACGATCACGATGCTAGTTCGATTCCGCCCCAGACCAACCAAGCTTCTCATGCGCCCGGAGTCGGGAAATTGGTACAGGACTTGTCCGTGAAAAAAAACCACTCACCGCAACCCAACTGGGAGCGCTCTAGCCCGTCTATCCCAGGACTACAGCGAGATTGCTCGACCACCATTCTACGACATTCAAGATGAAATGGAAATCCGCAAGCAGCAACCGAGGCCACACACAAAAATTGGATGATCTTCGTGGACAATGGATGCAGGGAAACGATTCGAGTGTGAGAAGTGCTGGTATCCACCCAGAAGACGTGAACACGGGCCATATAAAATAATAAAATAATAGTAACCCTTTACCTAACAGTCTCAAAGACGGCTTCTTTTCGCAAGTAATAAAACGGACCAAAAGCTGGAATATGTTGCTTTAAGGCTCGTTATTTTCGCGGGGTGTGTGTGTATGTATGGGTGTGTGTGGTGTGTGTGTCTATGTGTATATGTATGTGTATGTGCAAATCTAGTCACTTCAGTTAACTCCCACAACAATGTAGGACTAGAAATTCTGCAAGCGGAATCATCGTTAGTCTTTAATGAAATCACGTAAATTAGGCTGTCCATTCCGCCCAAACTTCGGAGCATTGGAATACACACACTCTTCTGTACATTTATGGATCGGAGGTGACATGAAGCCTCCAAGCACCTCGGCAAACGATCCAATCTTCTTCCTACACCATTGCTTCGTTGACTTCATTTGGGAGATGTGGAGGCAAACTAGGCAGAATCGATATTCACGAGAAACGGTGAGTTCAAAAAGTGCTCCTATGAAGTCCAAGTCTAGAGAATGGCCTCCATTTCACATTCACTTTTACGCATTAGCTTGCAAGTAACAGTAGAAAGAGAAGAATTGGAAAGAGACAGAGGGGTAATAAAATCTGTTAGAAACAGGACCCATGCCGAGAAATCAAAATTTATAAAGTGCCTGCTGAATGCATTTAGGCGTACCCGCCAGACATTGGAGCATGTGCCAACTCACAACACTTCAGTTACGCGCAGATGAGACCCTGGGATAAGCAGAATCAAGATGGTGAGTAGTATTCCCTCACCTCATAGGTATTGTTCGGAAGAGCGGTGATAGTGAGCACTGCCTGGAAAACCGTTTTGTTCCTTATCCAAACGACCGTCTAAACAATTAGAACGAGTAGGCATTGTCGGACGATTTTTAACTACGAGCTACCCTTAACTATTTTTTCTGGAAAAATCTAAATCTAATCGAGACTTTCAACAAATGAAGATTTCGTTGCACCCATTAGCCTTTGTGCTCCAATAACCAACCATATCAATCTCTTAAACTCGAAATTTGAATACCAAACAGTTCTAGAACCCGAAAGACCGACTTTCTATAAACCTCGGCATAGATAGTTGATATATTTATTTATGTGATCTTAAAAACTGATCTTCTTAAGCTGACGCGAGGTTGGCACAGATCTTCGTTGTCGTTGTTTTTGATGTTATTGATCGATGGCTGACGTTTCGGCGACTTCGCCTTCCTCAGAGCCTGGACGTACTTTATGTTAGAATACTTTTTATTATTCGGTGGAAAAGAAGGTTAAAGTATTAATGAAGATCAAACTTTCAAATAGACGCCATATTGAACAGAAAGGCCACTCACCGTGATGTTACGTGCGAGACTGGTCCACTCGTAATTCACGCGAGCAAGACACGCCCCGGGGTCAAAATATCATTTTGAAATAGGGCGCCACGTCACGCGTGATAGTGAGGCATTCGTCCTTCCGGTTCATCTTTGGATTTTTGAAATTTATTCAAAACGCCTCAAGACAAACCAACAAAAATGTGGTATGCGCCAGGCTAGAGAGCTTTTGAATTCAAAATCTATTAGACTTTCTATTAGTGATAAAGGCGGAGAATTTGTAGTTCTTCCTAGTCAGTTGGATATTAGAATAACACAGAAGCACCTCAGTGATGTTTCTTTCTATTGAACATCCTCTGAAAAGGAATACAGAAATCAATACCGAAGATTGAATCTAGAATGGGTCAGCACGGCAAAGGCCGTGGGTTTAGAGACTTCAGTTATTTCTCGACTTAAGAACGAACACCCGATTTGCCCTGTCCTTTACTTGCTTATTAAAACACATACGCTTACTTCAACTGATGATATTACGTCAACGAACCCATCATCATATAAAGTTAGACCTATCATCAGTTATATAGGCGGGCCAACGAACAGAATAACGTGGTTCCTAAACTTTATCCTAACCCAGCTGCTAAAATTCATCCCGACCCATCTACCTAACACCAAAATATTTCTAGACCACCTACGGCGCGCGCAACCAAACAGCACGCATATAATGGAGTCATTCGATGTTAGTTCACTTCATACCAACGTGTCCAATGACTCCGCAATGCAAGCCATTCTCGAGTTGCTCATAGAGCATGAAAAAAATGTACGGCTTGTCGATTGCGCAACTAATGACTCTCTCAAAACAGTGTCTTAGTTGTTCAATCTTTAGGTGGTCTAGAAAATGTTTTGCACAAATCAGAGGATTGGCCACGGGACAGCGTTTAGCACCAGGCCTTGCCATCGCTTACATGTCTAAGATGGAACTCCAGTTCTCGATCACCGACCCTTACTCTACTGTCGATACATAGACGACTGCTTCATCGTCTGTTCCACACAAGAACAGATGGATGAGTGCTTTGAATTATGAAACTGACAGTCAGAGCATATAAAATTTACACGAGAAAAACCTACCGAGAACTGGCTTCCATTCCTAAACATCCAAATAAAGCTCTCAGCAAGTGGCTATGTAACAAAATGGTATCGCAAGCCAAGTAGTAAAAACATTCTAGTTCACTGCCTCTCCTCTCATCCTTCACACATGAAAAAAGCACTTATCAAAAAGATGAACTGTACGGCTGAAAGTGTGTACACAGGAGAAGAGGAAAGGAATGAATCGCGAAGCCTGGCACGAAAAATTGCCATTTCCAATGGCTACGAAGTAGAAGCCACTCGGGTTAGAGGAAAACGTAGGNATCAGAGGATTGGCCACGGGACAGCGTTTAGCACCAGGCCTTGCCATCGCTTACATGTCTAAGATGGAACTCCAGTTCTCGATCACCGACCCTTACTCTACTGTCGATACATAGACGACTGCTTCATCGTCTGTTCCACACAAGAACAGATGGATGAGTGCTTTGAATTATGAAACTGACAGTCAGAGCATATAAAATTTACACGAGAAAAACCTACCGAGAACTGGCTTCCATTCCTAAACATCCAAATAAAGCTCTCAGCAAGTGGCTATGTAACAAAATGGTATCGCAAGCCAAGTAGTAAAAACATTCTAGTTCACTGCCTCTCCTCTCATCCTTCACACATGAAAAAAGCACTTATCAAAAAGATGAACTGTACGGCTGAAAGTGTGTACACAGGAGAAGAGGAAAGGAATGAATCGCGAAGCCTGGCACGAAAAATTGCCATTTCCAATGGCTACGAAGTAGAAGCCACTCGGGTTAGAGGAAAACGTAGGGTTGTTCCCCAACATAATGTTCCGGACGTAAGTAATATTCCCTTTAAGCTACCCCTCATATCAAATGAAGCAAGTTACTCCATTAAGAGATGCTTAAGAAAAAGTGGTCTTGAAAATTATGTAGCGATTATTGACATCCCACCCAATACCCTACGCCGCCAGTTAGTTCGAAACCGTCTCTATGATCGTTTGTGCAGCTCAGAAAACTGTGTGATCTGACCTAACGGGAGAGACGGCGATTGCATGAGTTTAGGTATAATATACTTGATCTCATGTAATGCATGCGGCGAGGAATATATCGGGGAAACGAGTAGACCACTTTGTGTCCACAAAAGAGAACATCTAGATGGGAAAGCTAAAATTCGTCAAAACACTCCTCTAAGTACGCATAGGGTACAAAGCACAACGGCGATGATTTTGAAGCGAATGTGCGGATCCTAGCGCAGGAATCAAAAACATCAACGCGCAAAACTCTTGAGGCGTTCTGGATAAATTTCAAAAATCCAAAGATGAACCGGAAGGACGAATGCCTCACTATCACGCGTGACCTGGCGCCCTATTTCAAAATGATATTTTGGCCCCAGGGCGTGTCTTGCTCCCGGCTCCACGTGAACTCCCTGTGGGCCAGTCCCGCACGTAACATCACGGTGAGTGGCCTTTCTGTTCAATATGGCGTCTATTTGAAAGTTTGATCTTCATTAATATTTTAACCTTCTTTTCCACCGAATAATAAAAAGTATTCTAACATAAAGTACGTCCAGGCTCTGAGGAAGGCTAAGTCGCCGAAGCGTCAGGCATTGATCAATAACATAAAAAACAACGACAACGACAACGAAGATCTGTACCAACCTCTCGTCAGCCTAAGAAGTTCTAGAACCGTTTTGATAAGTCCTACATATAAATACAAAGCTCTGAGTTGATTTAGTGGCGTGATTTTTCTGCAATGAGGACTTCACAGTTTATATTTTTTGGCCATCAATTTTACTTTCGAGCACTGTTTGCAGGGTTATCGAACGAATACACGGATAACCTTTACCGATACGCTCCTAGGGCAACCTGCTCCGTTCAGAATACAAATTGTGGGTCTCCGTACCTCTTCTGTGACACTAGAGGCAGCCCACATTGCGTGTCCAAGGTTTTCCACCTCGTTAATTTCTGCTGATATTTTAAGGGTTGACTAGAATCGTTAAGATAAAACCGAATGGTCTTTGCCGCGGCTTCGAGGACTTTGATGCGTGTTGGCAAGGAACGTGCGTAGCCAGCTGGTGCCGTCCGGGGCAGCCAATAAGAGGGGTTCAGTTCTATTTGTTGTCTTAATGCTAAATTTTTCATTGCTGTTATTGCGTTAATTATTATCCAAGATTTTTTTTTCGGAAGATACAGAAACATTGTGGTCAAAATTGACAGACAACTCCTTATCAGGTACCTCTTTTAGCACCAAACCAGGGGATTGTCTATACAAGTCTCTCCACGAGGGCTCCCAACTACACAGAGGCCACAAACTATTCCATCAAGGTCACAAACCACCAGTGCACTCACGATTCGGACAACTGCATCACAAAGAAGCGTTAGTGAATAATCGTTGAGCTCCGCCTTTTCAAACACTTTTGTGAAACATTCTATGTTTATTCGTATTCTTGTTGAGCTAATGCGAGGTGTTATTTTTATTCTTTATTCGCAAATAAGCTGACGTTTCGGCTGATTTCGCCTTCCTCAGAGCCTGGAAAGCTCAAGTTGACAACAATCTATTCGGCTCGCATTCCATAACCTCCATAACCAAACAGAGAAAACGCTTAACCAAGATTTCAAACACATAGAACACAGAATACCTTCTTTGCACACTCACGGTTTTCTATGAGGCTTCCACTGACTATGCGGGTGGAGACCGACCGCACAGAATTCACATGAAAGGGTAACGTACCCCTCCCATCACGGTAACAGGCTTATATATCGCCCAATATTACGCGTGATAATGAGGTATCTTCTCTGCGGTTCATTTTCGGATTCCTGGAATTAATCCAGAACGCCTGGAGAGTTTTGCGCACTTGTGTTCTTGATTCTTGCGCGAGCACCGTGACCCGTACTTCAAATTCATCCTCTTTATTTCTCTGGGTCTTATGCGTGCCTGGTGGGCTATTTGGTTTACGTTTACCGACTAGGTGTTCTTTTATGCGAACACAGAGTGGTCTACCCGTTTCGCCAATGTAATCGTCTCTGCACGCCTTACAGGTGATCAAATAAATTGTACCCGAGCTCACGCAATCATCCTCTCTACCGTTAGGACAAATTATGCAATTTTGCGTTGCACATAGACGGTGATATAGGTAATTCCCATGACCGACTTTCTGTTAACCTCGGCATTAATTGATAATTCAATGTTTCTCATCAATAAGCAGACACGAGGTTGTTAGTCATATAGGTGGTTACGAACTAGCTGGCGCCTAAGAGTACTCGTTGGCATTTCAATTACGTTTACCGAATTCTCTAGAACCGTCCTTCTTAAGCAGCGTTTTATCGTTGCACTTACATCATTTGAGATGAAGAGTGGGATAAATGGGGGCTATTTATCCCTAGAGTTGTCGTTTGGGGCTTAGGATTTTCCCTACACCTATTCCGAGATACAGTTTCGTAGCCATTAGAAACGGCTTTTTGTCATGCCAAGTTCCGGGACTCCTCTCTCTGTTCTCTTCTCGTGCACACGTTGGTTACTGTTCGAAACATGTTTCTCACAAACGCCCATTTCGTGTGAGAGGGGTGAGAGGAGAAGTAATGAACCAAGATGTTTTTACTACTTCGCTATCGGTACCGAAGCCATTTTTCTTTCGGCTTTTCACGGGTGAACTTGATATACTCTGACTGTGCGTTTAACAATTCGAAGCATTTGTCCATTTCCTCTTGTGTTGAGCAAAGGACAAAGCAGTCGTCTACATACCTACAGTAGAGTAGCGGCCCGAGATCAGTCACCGGTGCTTCCACCTTAGACATAAATGCAATGGCAAGGCTTGGAGCCAGTCGTTGTCCCATTGCCAACCCTTTTATTTGAGCGTAGTACTTTCCAGACCATCTGAAGATTGAGCAGCTCAAGCATTTTTCTAAGAGTGCCATTAACTGCTCTATCTTGAAGCCATACATGTTTATTTCTTTTTCGTGTTATATAAGGTGCTCGAATATGGCTTGCATTGCGGAGTCATTCGACACGTTTTTATAAAGGGCGATAATGTCGAAGGACTCCATCACACACGCGCTGTTGGGCTGCGCAGTACGTAGACGATTCAGAAACATCTGGGTATTCGTAAGATGGGCTGGAATGTGTTTCAACAACTGGGTAGATATTAGGGTTAAAAACCATGTTATCCTATCCGTTGGCCCGTCCACACAGGTAATAGGTCTAGGCCACATAGGTCTAACCTTAAATAATGAAGGATTGGTAGACGCAAGATCATCTCTGGATACTAACTGATGAGTTTTTATAAGCAAGTACAAAACGGGACATATTGGTAAGTTTACTTCTAGTTGAGAGATAACTGGTGGTTTTAAACCAGCAGTCCCTGCCAATTTAACCCATTAGTGGCTCAATTTTCGGTATTTACTTTTAAATTCCTTCTCAGATGAAAAGTGAAGCATCTTCAAGATGCTTTTTCGCTATCTCAACATCTAACTGATGGGGAATTACGACAAACTTTCCACCCTTATCACTAACGGATAGTCTTATTCTCTTCGTATTTTTGTTGAGCAAACGCGAGGTGTTACTATTCTTTGTTCACGATTAAGCCGACGTTTCGGCGGATTTCGCCTTCTTCAGAGCCTGGAAAGGTCAAGTTGATAGCAACTCACTCGGCCAGACGCCTCCATAACCAAACAAAGAAACTCCAAACCAAGATTTCAATCACTTTGAACACAGCTTTGCACACTCACCGCTTTCTATGAGGTTTCTATGAAGTGGAAATTAGAATACAATAGCTGACGTTTCGGCGGTTTCGCCTTCTTCAGAGCCGTTTATTTGTTGTAAATATTTAAGTTAGTTGATGGATAGTCGCCGCACAGGGCCGTCAGCTATTGTATCCTAATAAATTCTATATTAACATATTATATCTATATTAACAACCTCGTATCTGCTTATTGAAGGAAAACATTTCAATTCTCAATTAGACATAAAAAACCAAAGCCAACCATTTTTCCGGACATATAAGTCGAATCTTACAAAGATGGAATTGTTGTCTTCATGAATACTGACGATATTCGTAGTCACTGCCACAGCTCACAACACACAAAATTACATTTACGAGTCACGTAACTGGCATTATCATGTCGCGCTTTCTCCGCTGTTAATGTTTTGAAATCTTTTGCAAATAGTAACATTCATGTAAGCAACAGTTCAGAGGTGGGTTTTTTGTATTAATAAAATTTAGCACGTTGTTGACGTCAGCTTCATTTCATCCTTTTACTTGTGTGTTATTTAGAGGCCTAATGCGTTCACGAGTACCAACTGCTACAATGACGACCCTTGTTGCGAGGCTTGGGCACGAGACGGCGAATGCGCCGTGAACCCGATCTACATGAACCGCTACTGCAGGAGGAGTTGCAGGCTCTGCAATAACCCAACGGACGGCAGAACGGGTGAGTCCATGTGTCGTTCAAATCTGATCTGTGGCTGTAACTTCACTCGTATTCCAATCCTTCTTTCGTTGTACCGATAAGCATGTATAATTTGTTTAACATCTAGTAATGTGTTACTATGTTTTAGAGGAGCTGGCTTTAGACTATCAGCAGAATATCTAAAATGTCAAAAATTTCGGGTAAACTGAACGGGCAAACTTTTCGGCCAAGTATTTCTAAAACGCAGACAGAAAATTTCAAAATCTCAATTTCTATCAAATATGGAACAGTTTTATAAATACCCACCGTTTTTTTTCTTTTTTTTTTTTGCTCAATGCTTAGCAAGTGGGACCACATGTAGTGAAGAGTGCGCCCATCTCACAACAAAAAATTGGCATGAAATATTTCGTATGACTTTTCCCAGGTTTTGAGAATGGCCAAGTCCTTCAAAATATTTGCCACTTTTGAATGAAACTTTCATCACGACCTCAATTAAGCTCATCCAAACAGTTTATTGATTGATGCTGAGGAAAAATCAAAGTCGAAACTGGGAGCGACTGATGTTTTTGTGCTTCGTGTTCTTCAAAACAAAGTTTCCGACCTGAATTTATTAACATATTGCAGACTGCCACGATCGACACCTGTCGTGTCCGTTCTGGACCAGTCAGAACTATTGTACTAGAAGGCGACAGTGGATGGCCGAGAACTGTCAGGCCTCATGTGGATGGTGTCACATTAGTCCCTTACAACTCTGCGCCTCCGTAGCCTTTATGAGTCGGGCCTGAATGTGCTCTTCTGCTGTACATTTTGTAAAAAATTCCCATTTGTGGTCTACGATGTTTTTCAGCGCACAACGCCCGATGCTGGTTTTCCCGTTGAGGAGTCGAAAATTTTGATGATTTATGGAAAAACGGTTCTAGTTCCTGAAGAGTATACTCAATTTTTGCAAGGTGTTCTTCCAATTCTGAACTTATTGGGAGATAATTGGAAACTTAATTGGATTGTAAAATTTCGAGACCAATTGCGGCAACCATAAACACCAACGAACAACATTGTGGTTGTTTCACACGTAATATCCTGCTATAAAAAAATTATAGTAGGCAGTAAATAAAAAGTTAACAGTGATGCCGAGATATTTGCAAATATAGGTATAGGGGAAGGTGACATGTTCTATTAGACGAAATCCTGGCTTCCGTGCCCGAAGGAAATATGTTTCATGGGACCGAGAAAGTCAGAATTTAACCCTAGTAAAACGCAAAAGCCTGAATTTCGTTGTCAAGCGTCTGCACATACTACCAGTTTGTAATTCAGTTGTTAGAGTTCATTACAAGCTGAGATATAGTTAAGCACGGAAGCGGCCATTACTTTGGGACCAAATGCATTTAAATTTATGCATATCGGACATAATGCGTTAACTAGTAGCCCTTCGCTTTCTGTATCACTTTTATCGGCTAGACTACCATTTCATTCACCAGCACTTGTTAACTGCTTGAATCGAGAACTACCAGAGAAAATGAACTGTGAGTACAGTGTGTCCTGTACAAAAACGGCTCTTTCAAAACCAGCTCTTACATCGTTTAGTTTGCTAGCACACTTTCGACTGGCGGGAACTACGCCGTTTTATCGCGGAAAGAAGTTAGAGGCACCAAACGAATTGACCTCAAGCAACGTCGCGTGGGTTGTCTACCGCAATCAACACGCATTTTTGCTTTCTTAGAACTGAAAATGATTCCAAACGCTTGAGGCGTTCAAAGTTTAGCAACGAATGAAACGCGTTGCCTTCATGTTGGCGTGTACCAAAGTATCGACGAACTAGGCGATATTGGAAAAACAAACTGAGAAAACCGTTTCGTAGCGATAGGTTTTCGGAAAGTTCGCGGTGGTAGTCGACCAGTTCTACTGGGATTGTTCTCATTCAATTTTTAGATAGTTTCTTCTCCTATACAAGCATATCCACTGTTCATATCGTTTTATACCATCTATCCTCTTTACTTTCTAGTCGTTGGTAACAATGTGCTGAGATGATTTAGCGATTTCTTAGCCTTAGTAAATGAGACGCCTTTAACTTCAAGTGGACTTCAAACGGGATTGTGATTCCTGCCTTATTTCTTTGTTCAACCTGCCGTAGGCGATTATTATGAAATGTGTTCTCATGCTTATGTCGTTGATTATTGAAATCAAGGTTAGATGTTGTGTAAGTGTAAATAAACATTCTATACGAGTTCGAGTTTTGCTGTCCACTAACAGTGCTGAGGTATGCGGTATAAAAGTAACGAGTACTAAGAAATATTGAACACTTGGTTGACCTTTTTCTACTAGCAGTGCGGACCTCAGTACATTTTCCATTCCTTTCTTTCTCGCGCAATCAATGTTCACGGTGGTGGCCCGCTTCGAACACGATGACGACCTCCATGATATCCGTTCCGTATTCATAAAATCGTTTCCATTCGCTAATACAGGTTGTAGGGGCGGATAGCACAGTGGTAATGATTGTTCTCATCACAAGCATGATGCTAGTTCGATTCCTCTCCGGGCCAGCCAAGGGTATCATCCCGCCGAGGTCGGGGAATTGGTACTGGACTTGTCTAGGAAAAATCACTCTCTGCAGTCCAACTGCGAACGCTTCAATCCGGCTATCTCAGAACTCCAGGAAGAATTGCTCGACCAGCATTCTACGACATTCAAGATGAAATGGAAATCCTCATGCAGCAACCGAACTTACACGTAAAAACTTGGAAGACTTCGGTGGACGATGTTTGACAGGAAACGAACTGGATGGGAGAATTACTGGAATCAGCACAGTAGACGTGGAGAGGGATCAAATAAAATAAAATAAAAAAATATTACAGATGGCTGACCTTATCCACAACCACATTCATTCACCACCGCTTGATTGGTCGTCAAATAGGACGTTTGCATTCCCTTGGAGCTCAATCCACTGTTGAATTTTTTTCGTCCATTGGTCACCTGTTATTCTTCTTATGTGGCCAGCCTATCTGTGCTTCGCTAATGATGTATATTCCCCTGGATCCCGAAGATGGTATAAGTTCCGAAGATCGTGCTTCTCGTTACAGTATGATATTGTGTGTGCCGGTTATGTTTATGAAGACGTCGGCCAACCGCTCTGTGAATATTCTTCTGCATTAATGACGTAGTTAAAGTATCTGCCTATGTCTCCGCTGCATAATAGAGCGCCGAGAGAACTGCTGAATAGAAGAGCTGAGCATGTGCTTTGGGGTCCACTAGTTGGTCGGAAGCTTCTTTGAGTAGCCCGAATGCAGCCTACGCCGCTCTCCATCTTCTGCTTAGTTTCTCCTTCATGTTGTTCTCCATATTTTTAGAGTACATAGATACACGCGAGGTAAATTCTGTAAACGAAAACCTATTCGTTTCGATTTCTTCACCCTCGTTTTTCATGAACTGTGATTTCTTTCGACTCGTGCGCAGCCCTATCCTTTTTCCCACTTCGTCGAGCACGTCGACTATTGTCTCTAGTTCGTTGATTTTTTTAAAATACGACGACGCCATGAGCAAAACGAAGATTTAGTAGGTAGGAATTAGCCGTTAATGCGCACGCACTTCTCATCTCGGTCGCGCAAGTTCGTTATACACTACAATGAGATTGTAAACAGCTTTAACGAGATAGTGTCGCTTTGTCCAACACCTCCTACTATGGGAATGAGAAGAGATAGATGCAAAAGCTGTATTTTTATGCCACAATTCGGAGAACGACCAGTGTTCATATATTCGACGGTTCCACTCCTCGGTCGACGGAGGTTGCATTCGTTCCAACACTATCAAGCGCTTTTTCGCAGTCGATAAAGGCTAGACAAGGAAAAGATGGTGCTCTCGACAGATTTCTATGACTCCTGACACGGTTTGGACGCGGCCCATGAGCAGAATCTCTGTCGCAATTCTTCTCCCTCAACTGGTTATGCACCAGCCAAACTCGTTGTAATGCGCATTAGTCTTGGTGAACAACTTGTAGAGCACACCGAACAAATATATCGGACGACAGTTAAGAAGACGTGCGTAACACCCAGTGATCTGCGATTTTTCCTTTTGAAAGTAAAAGAAACTGTAGGTGCAAGAAGTCAATGTAGCTTGTTCATTCCAGCTCGGACTAAGTCGACTGCAATATCATTAGGACCCGGAACTGTGCACCTCTGCATGCTTTCTATCTCGACTAGAACTTCAGAGAAAATAATTTATGCGGTTTTCTCTAACGCGAATACCGGGGTCCGAGACAGTGACTGTAAAAAGGAAAAAAATGGTAGAGAACTTCTCTAACAACTTCATATTATGGAGAGATGCGGTAATGTCACCACCTTCATTCTTCAGGACTGACAACGAGACATTATTGTACGCCGACAGATTCCTCGCCACGACACTTGCAGAAATTCCCACAGCACTTCTTTATGCTGGATAGTTTTTGAGCTGCTTCCAATAGCTTTTCTGCTTGTGCCAATATAAGTCCTCCTAAAATGATCTTCATCAACTGGCACTCACTGTCAGCGTGGTTAGGTGTCCTGCATTAGGATGAAGTCTTCGCTCTCTTAGAGAATAAGAAGTGGCATGGAACCTTCCATCTCTCCGGAGTCGACAAATTAGTACAAGACTTCGCTGGGAGGATAGAAACACTGTCGATATATCGGTAGCCCAGCGTGAGTCATTGTAAAGGGCAAATATGCATTCAATCGCCTCCAAATGATGCTTAATGAAGTCGGATGTATGGCGCTTCCCTCAGGGATTGATCATCGCCGAGAGCTTTATCCTTTTAGCTTTTATGTATGGCTAAAAACATGGCGATGCAAATTATGGAGAAATTGTTGGACCAAGAAAACTGTAAACAGGTAATGTTAACTTTTTTATCTACTGCCTCCTACAATCTCTCACAGCAGGGTATTATGTGAAATGTAACCACAATGACGTTGACATATTTGAAAAACTCCGGATCACAAGTGTCCGCGGTTGGTATTGAATCCGCTATTAACCTAGAAAAAACTATAGAAACACAGAAAACTACCCGACAGAAAAGCAAAAGCAATAACCCACACTGTGGTGGTGAACATGTTAGTCCCCGGAAAAGGTAATAACGGGT